GTCAAATAGGGTTTTAAACAACTGTGGAGTCTCTAATGTGGGCTAACAAAGGTTCAGTAGCCAATACGGAAATAATTTCTAGCATGTGCACGCGTATACATGTTTGTATTTTTAGCATGTGCTTCACATACAAAGAACAGGCACGCATGCAACTAGAAACAACAACAAAGTATTAAAAATCTAAAATACAAGCATACCTTATTTTCTGTCGCTTGGATTTTTGTGTTTTTAGCACGGTGAGCAAACTTCAGTGTATTGTGTGTCTCTTATATGTTACTTGATGATGGAGTGACAGTGCAAATGAGCTGAAATTATAGACAGAAAATAGAAATAATAAAATGAGAAGGGATAATCATACGTTGTAGCCAAACAGGAACATAGGTTTGAACTTTAACGTACTGTTATTGATGATCAAATCATAAACTAACATTGAACATAGGTTTGTATAAGTCACTTAAGTACTACCAAGGTATAAAATGTGCAAAACTAATCATACATCCCAATTAAGGTTTCAACTTTACCTCAAAACAAAATTAATGTTCCTAATTAAGGAACTAATCAATGTTCCTTGATTTAATCATCACCAAGTGTTATGCCCTCTAGGTCCAAATCATCCAAAGGACCTTACTTGTAAGCAATCCAATTGTCGAATTTCCTTTGTATTTTACGTTGATAATCTGTTTTAATCTCTAATATAAAATCTTGTATTCGTTCGTGTATATGAGATAAATGTATCAAAAGCTGAGGCATATGATGATCTTATCTTGTGGATAAGGATTTCTCAGAATTTTGGGTTCAATTTTGTACAGCTGGTGAGCCCTGGGGCATGGTTGACTGATATGTGCCAAGAAAGATACGAAGTTAGGGAAAAGAAGAGTTCTAAGAAGGTAAACATATGATATCTATTTCCAGGGATTTAAATAGTGGTCCGCTATCGGAATAGTGGATGCAATAGAAACCATTTAGCACCCGCTATTGCCACAATCGTGACCGAAACTGTTATTTGAATCCTTGGCTACCCTCGTCTTTTTCTATGAAGTTTTTGAATATATTGTGCATGTAGTTATCTTCTTCCCTATTTTTTTTTTTTTTTTTGCAGAGACCAAGGGGATAGAAGGCCATGGGGAGTGTGGAAAGTGATTCGGATTGAAGATTATCTTAAGCCATGGCAGCTACAGCATGAGCATTTTTTTCTCTGAATTTTGCAGCTAATGTTAATGGTGTTGATTGTTTTTTCATTTTTATTAATGAAAATAATTGTTCTTATTTACCATAAAATTTTTACTGCAAACAAATGCAAAACCTATATAATTGAACAAAACATCATCTCAAATACCTCAGAACACCAAATCATTAGGATGAGTAACAGGAGAACGAAAATTACAAATAACTTACAGCAATAGCATCACCATGCAGAGTGATTACTAAATCAGTTCTGACCTCAGGATCTCTAGCAACAAGCAATGAACATTTGCGATTGGCCAATAAGTCCTACGAAAACAATTTTTGTAATAATTATCAGTTGAAAAGAATAAAACTTGTTGACTGTGTCGAAAAGGAAAATAGGATTAACAACAGAGAAACTCCCAATGGCAGAAAGAAAAAAGATTGGTGAGTGGTGACCGTGACTATAACATAAGAAACTCATGCTAATTACAAGAACACGGGTATATCTTAGAGTTTTCCTGGCTTTCGCAAATGATTTTGTCAAAGATGGTAACATGAGAATATCATTTTATAACCTTAACAATTTACATGATTTAACATAATTAAAATAAGAAGAAGAAACATGATTCAATATACGAGTGTCCATCATACAAAATACTAACCTGAACGATATCCAATATCATTTTGATGTTTTAATTTCCCTCCTAATTCTTTTAATCTAGGGTTTTAAAATACTCCTAATTCTTCTGCAAGATAATCAGAGAACTAGGGTTTTTATCGTGCTAGGCTTTTATACAAACGATTCGACTGGGGTTTTATGTTTAGGGGCAGTAGAAGATTCAGAGAACTAGTATAGGTGATGACGACTTTGAATGGAAACGAGCAGCATTTGTTTTCGATCGTAAATGTCTGTGAAAGGGGGGAAATGGTATCGCAGGAGTTAATAGATCACTTTAGTGGCGTTTTTAAATTCAAACGCCACAAAATGCAAGAGATTAATGAGACTACTATGGCGTTTATTTAAAAAATGCCCCAAATTATGAACCTTTTATTGCATTTGTAAACACAAACACCTCTAAGGAGTATGGGACGACAACAATTGTGGCATTTGTTTATACAAACGCCACCATATGTTTAATATATTGCTGTGTTTTTCAAAAATGTCACTAAATAATGAGTTTATATCAGCATTTGTCTAAAAACGCCGCAAATGTAATAATTTTGTTGCGTTTTGGCTATAAATGCCGCTATATATACCAATTTAGCATCATATATTTATAAAAACGCCGCGAACAATGCCAATATAAAACTATTTTGTTGTATCGCCTACTGCGACGTTTGAATTGTAAACGCCGCTATATATTTAGAATTTGTGGCATTTACTCTCCAAACGCCGCTTAAAACATTGCTCAGTAGAGGCTCGACGGTGGTGAGTGGTGACGATTTGATGAAGACGCACTGTCCATCGATAGAAAATTAGGGATAAAAAAAATTAGGGATCGACCAGAATTGGGGATATATGATATAACGATGGACAATGGCGGCGTTTATATTAAAATTCTAAGGGACCAAACTTCTGCGGTGTTTATTACAAAAATGCCCCTAAAGGACAAAACTACTGCGGCGTTTATTAAAGAAACGCCACTAAATGACTAAACTATTGCTGCATTTTTTTATAAACGCCGCTAAAGATCATGGATATTACGGCGTTTTTCTACAAACGCCGCTAAAGTACATGGATATTGTGGCGTTTGATCACAAACGCCAGATAAGTACAAGGCTATTGCGGCGTTTTCGCATAAATGCCACTAAATTAAGAGTATTTTTTAGTATTTTTGCGGCGTTTAATAAAAAACAAACGCCACTATAGTACATATTTTTGCGGCATTTTTATAAAAATGACATGATAAACAACGTATTATGACGTTTGTGGGACAAACGCCGCTAAATTATTACTCTATTGCTGTGTTTTTTGCATAAACGCCACTATAAACAAACCTTTTGCGACGTTTGTTTGATAAACGCCGCTAAATTACTTCTCAATAGTGTCGTTTGTTGAACAAATGACTCTATAAACAACACTATCGCGGCGTTTGTATAAAAACACCGCTAAATTACCACTCTATTGCGGCGTTTGTTGAAAAAATGCCACTATAAACAACTCTATTGCATCATTTGAGCTATAAACGCCACTAAATTACCACTCTATTGCGGCGTTTGTTTAAAAAATGCCGCTAAAGTATCATTTTGTGGCGTTTGTATTGTAAACGCCGCGACATGCTTAAATTTTGTGGCGTTTTCCCTTAAAACGCTGCTAGAAACGTCGCTATAGAACACTTTTGGTGTAGTGATTGTTAATGATCGAATGAAAGTTCTTATTTTCCACTATGTTTTTTGCTCGTCTTTCTAGAGATATTGTTTTGTGTGTGTGTGTGTGAACATTTTTTACCAGAAAAACATAACAACAACATAGCCCAAAAATCATTACAAATATTTGTAAAAGGAAAATTCTATCTTGTAATTTAGTTCCTCAATTCTTGACCCGTTGTTCCCAATATAATTTACTTTGGTCAATCAATAATCCTAGAGAAGTTGGTGTAAATACAAGTTATTGCATTCCATATCAACAGTCATATTTTCAAACTCATCCTCTTCATCTTCTTTTCGTATACCCATTGAATCATCCGCTTTTAAGTACTAGCTCATAAGACTCTTCACCGTTTAGGAGCTATCGTTCGAATGAAGCATTATGCCATTGTTTGTTTCTATGTGGATTAATTTTAAGTTTTCTAGTATGTTGTGTTTTGATGGAGATATTATGTGAAGAGAGAATAAGTGAACATGCCGTAATATCATAATTTAAAAAATATATAGTTGATTAAGTTTAACTTGATTAATAGGTCTATTGACATGTTATAAAGAATGATATAATATTGAATATATTTAAAAATTCAATATTTTTTATTTATGAGTGAGGAATAATTTATCTAGTATAAACATTGTTATAAATTATATGTTAGGAAAACTTCACATACAATTTGACCAAAATAATTACTTTAAAATAGAGATTAAATTAGAAAAAAGAAAGAGTATAGTTATAAAAATCTTTTATGCAATTTGAAAAATAAAATATCTTAAAAGATTTTTTTAATAGTTTAAAGTGGTTATAAAGTATTATATGTTCACAATTTTCATAATCTATTAATAATGTGCACACACAACTTACAAAAATAGTTGTTTGAGCTCAAGATGGGAGAATAACCTTTTTTACATGATGTGTTTTAGGTTAAAATTTTACAATGATATATAAATAATGCTGAACTAGTGCTAAAGAAAAGAAAACATTTAACAATGCCTATGCTGATAAATATAATACTTTTCTTTTACTTAAATTAAATGCAAACAAATATCTAAAATGATAAGTAAATAGTTCTTTAGTGATGGAAAATAAAAACAAACAAATGATTAAAGCCTAGTTTTTCTCAGGTCAAAGGTCCCAAAACTAATAGTGGAAAAACCTTGATAATTTGATATGTGTTCTGACCCCATACATAAAGAAAATGATACCCCTACTCCTTACATATGAAAACCCTTAATTTCTTTTCCACTCTTCAGGGAAAAAATCATGAAATTATAGATTAGTTCCATGGGAGATCGATTAAGTAATAATCCAAGAAGGTTCAACATGAAGTTTAACCAAGAAAAATATGAAGAGAAAATAAAGAAATGATCCAATTGGTTTGATTCAGTTCATTATTTAGACATGAACAGGTCAAAGTTAAAAACTTCAAGAAATTGCAAAATACGATGAAGAAATATATATATATACACACACAAACTATTTGATCGCTTCTTCGTTATTGAGATATACTATATGTGATCTCTATGTGCTTCTTTATAATGATCTGTATTTTAAGCACATGATATACCGACAGTGGAGGCTGCAGGGAATCTATCCGATGCAGTTCTCTTTACTCCCAACGAGTTATTCTCTGGCGAAAGCCCTCCAAAATCAATCTCCGAGACCTCGGGAATGGTTGTCAGTGAACCTGTCTTGTCATAAACAACGTAGTACTCCTCTTTTGATCTTTGTTTCATCCACAAAAGTGAAGAACTCGAACTTTGTCTGAATTTGAACATGGATTTGAAGAGTTTCTGAATCGATCGAGACAACTTGGAAGACTGCTTCTTGGAAACTGGTGGGCGAAGGGCCGAATTAGGAGGAGCTCGAGTGCTGTCGGTTAAATGAGGCATGGACATGGTTCTTGAACTGATAGCTGAGTCAAGTTGACGCCTGAAAGAGTTGAGCTCGAACGAGTCATAAAGATTTCTGTCACAGTCCCATACCAGATGCTTGCCCTCTTGGGTTTTCTGACGTTGCTTTTGTTCTTGAGGTTTTTCATTCCGAGTTTGTGCTTGGAATCTGTCCATGTGTTTGGTAAGAGGGAAAACGAAAAGGAAAGATTTCTATGTAAGTTGCAAGATTTGGGAGAAAAAGTGGGGGGAAAAGGCTTAGGTTGCTTGGTAGTTGTTGGTGTATTCAAAGCGTTCCAGGGAAAATAAAGTACGTTACTGCGTTCACGGATCTATCCATATCTACCACTAGAAATGTAGAGGAGTTCCCATGTGGCCATTTATTGACGGATGGTTCTACATGGGTACAATTTTCACACCTTTCATTTGCATGCTTACTAATGCTTTCCAAACGCGGTTTGGATGGAAAATTTAATATTGAATAGGTTTGAGACCAAGGGAAAAGTGTTTTGGGACAACACTCAATGGTATCAAACATAAAAGTCAGGAAAATCAGTTTAAACTAATTACGGTCAAAAATTAAATTTATTATTGGTGATGGTATCGGTAGTTGGAGTTTCATTTTTTTTTATTTAGACGAAGAATCGCGATCAATATAAAAATGTAGACAAAGGCGGAGAAAGTTGCTCTAGGTAGATGATAAAAGAGTTCTAGAAAGAGAGAAAACTCCCTTTTTCTCAATTGTGGTTAAAAAGTGTGTATAGTGACCATAGCTAAATGTAAAAGACAGAGAATAATTATGATTGCTCGTAGATGTCATTGGTTAAATTGATTTGATTATCAGATTCTCAAATTTCACTCTATTAGATCATGTGGACTTATCAGAAATTTTGGTTTGTCTGTATAGTTATATGGGGACTATGAATACCATGGAGGCTTCGATAAATAGAAGGACCTATATGTCTTAACTGACAAAAAGTCTAATAGTTTTCAAAGGATTTTTTTAAAGAAAAACTTCTTATGCTTGAGCAAATTTAAATTTCATATTATAAATTTACGTAAATTAATTATTTACACTTACTAATTATTTTAATGAGATGTAATGTTAAATTTTTTAAATAATTTTAAAAATGAAATTTTAATGTTATAAAAAATTGATTAGATTAAGAGGATCCATATAATAAATATATATAATATTGATTATAAGATTATATTTATTCAAAATTTATTTTAATTATTGACAATATACATACATCCTATAAATACAACTATTTAAACTCAAAATCTCTAAAAAAAATTATACTTCTTTTTATTAATGAGTTCAGCTTAACGAATTCTGCACTGGATCATATTAATTTAAAAGCAAGCATGAAATATAGGTGTCAAGCTACTAACGGCTGATGTGGATAACTTTGTTAATGCTTAATTACTTTTATAATATAATATGTTCCTCACCACTTAATTTAAGTATTGAGAATTCATTAACCGATTTCAGTAATTAAAGATAGTGTTATTTTCTTAAAAGTTTTGAATTTAAGCATTTACCCTTGTATAGTATGTGTTATCAATAGTTAAAAAGTTATAAATAAATATAACATTGTCACCTAAGACTTTTAAAAAAATATTGAATTGATGTTTAACTTTAAATAATTACAATTTAATGTTTAAAGTTGACACAAGAATATCAGTCGAGAAAAATTTAATTCAACTTATAAAATAGTTTTCAAATTTCTTAGTTATTCTATTTTATTTTATTTTGTTTATCTTGATGTTTATTTTTTTAATAGATTTTAAAATTACAAAGCTTGAATAATCGAAAAACTAAAAGTTAAAATGTCCTCTTTTTTATCTTTAGTTAATAATTTAATTTTTTTTATTTTGTCTCTAATTTCTTCAATTCTTTTTCGATTTAATTTATTTTGATCAAATTTGAATCATGTGATCCTCAACCATGATAGAATACTCATGTAGCTTCAATTTTTATTTTCGATAAAAAATTATTTTTTATTTAGTCCATTAATTTGTATGATTTTCTTTTCTTCAAGTTTTCATTCGTTTTAAGTCTATTTTTGACCTACTTTGAACTATATACTCCGTTACCACTATGGAATACATACGTAACTTTAATTCCTCCATTACCACTATGATTAGAGAGAGTTATTTAAATTAAAATCAATCAGTGTCATAACATCACAAATAACTGTATTTTTATTAGTGTGAGGGGATTACAATGTAGTATCTATTTAAAATTTTCTTAACGAAAAAGACCTTTGAACAGAAAGAAATTAGGGTTCATTGGTTAATTATATCGATTTTAAACATTTTTAAGGCATTAATTTGTTACCAAGTGCAAAAGCAAAAGAGGGAGCTTGCGAAATTGATTCGGTTTTTCTTACTGCTTATTGCATTGATGTTTTTTTTTCTCTCTTCTTAATACAACAATTAAAAAAAATAAAAAAGATAGATATTTCTAATAAATATGCTGTAGGAGCACACATGTGGCTAAAATACATGCAACGCGTTACAAACTTACGATATGTATTTTTTCCCTTTTACATTTATTAGTAATGACATTTATTCACGTAATAAAAGAAACTTGTACCTAAAATAAATTCATATTTCTGAACTCATTAAGTGGTCTATGTAATCAAAGTATTAAGTGGTCTCTGTAAGGTGTGTATACATTATCGATAATTAAAAAAGATTTAAATAAATACTAACTTATAATTATTCAATACTATTTTTAAAAAAAAAATCATATTTCTCATCATGCATCTCCTATCCAGATTTCTATGTATGATTCAACATAATTTGCTTGGATGAGAACTTCGAGGGAATTTCATTTTTATTGAGATTTTTATAATTTTAAAAATAAATATATTTACTTTTTGTAAAAATAATGAAAATTTTCAAAATTTAAATGGAATTTTGAAAAGTAGAATTCGGCAACTAAATTTTTCATTTAAATTCCACTTAAAGACGTGATTTTCAAAAATTCTTTAGTCTTATTTCATTTAATACATCTAACGTTACTATAAAATAAAATAATTTAAACTTTAAAACTTCATTTTTATTTGATTCAAATATGTACTTTTATATTATTAAAAATATTTATATCTTTTTTACAAATTTAATGATATCTACATTGTAGATTTTTATATTATTTAGTTTTAATATTATTATTTTTCATTTAATTTTTTTAAACTATTAAAACTTTAATATTCTAAATACTTCTAAAAACTACTTATACAAACTAAATGATCATAAACACTAGCATTGTGAAATGATACATTTTAAAACACTCTAAAATTTTAAAGTTTCTCGTCCAAACATTCTCAACGTGGAAAGGTAATTTTAAATATCTTAGGTGTGGTTTATGTTTATGGAAACATATAGGACTCGGTCTTGGGCACATTCTAGAAGGCTCTTCTACAAGAGTCCTGACCTGATTTAGTAATTAACTCAGTAATTCTTAGGATAATTTACATCCTAAAGATAAAAGATAATGTAAGGTTGAATTTCTTGCAGACAAATTTTAAATCTTAGTTGTTGATATAATTTGATTTGTATTGTCAAACGTAAAAAGACTAAACTATAAACAGAGGCTTTTTATTATCTCATTTGTATAATCCATTCATTGAATAGTGATTCTACCAGATCTCTTGCTCTCTCTTTGTTGGCTCTTTTCCATGTTTGTTTTAATGGAAGTTCCCTTTGGGGAATTTGATCTTAGGGATAGGTTGATTGATTAAGCATCAACTAAATAGATTACACGGTTAAAAAAGCGACTTTGAGAACGACGTATGATATAGAAAATGTTTAGGGGGTAGGAAATTCTTTCCAGACATGATATATGATGATTAAGAAACTCTTTTCTAACATGATATATATCGAACTTTGACATTGATCATTAATACCAATACATCATATTAGAACTTTAATCCTAAATTTTGCAATTAGAACATTGAAATCAAAATGAATACCAATTACACCATAGTATCAAAACATCATATTAGAACTTTAATCCTAAATTTTGCAGCTACAACCTTAAAATCAGAATGAAAAACAATTAGATCCTAGTCATGATGTTCAACAAACACTTGAACATCAACAAAATATTAGCATTCACTGTTGCTGCTTGTTCTCCGCCGCAGGTTTGTTGTATTCTTCCAATTCTTTCTTATAAGCTTCCATGGCTTCCGCTGCTTTGCCATTCCAAACATTCTTCTCTTCCTCACTGAGTTCCTATAACCCAACACAGCAAAAACCCAATGTTAAACCAGAACTGGTTAAAATTTAAGACTTGATTTAGGACAATATCATACCTTCCATTTGACCGAAATCATGGCATTAACAGTGCAATTGTTGATTCCTGATCTCTCTTGCATCAGGGTTTTCCTTGCTTCTTTGCTGAACAAGATGAATGAAGAAGCAGGCTTCTTAGGCTTGTTAGGGTCACTGCTATGCTTCTGCTTCTTTTTTTGCCTCTCCTCCTTTGTCTTCTTTATAATATTCTCCGTCTTCTCTTTCTTCTTAAGCAATTGAAGAGCTTCTTGTTTCTGAAGTTTGATAATCTCTTCTTCTTCCTTTATAACACACTCAGCTTCTTCCTCCTTTCTCTGCTTGTAAACCTCCATTTCCTGCCTGTATTTCTCCTTGTTCTTCTTTGCCATCTGCAATTTCAGTAAGAAAAATAAAACAAAATTGAGAATTTGCAGCTTGGGATGTGTTCTTCCATGTACGGAGTTCAAATCAATTACCTCTTCATATTGTCCTCTTTGTTCCTCCGTCATGTTCTTCCATTCTTCGCCGGCAATTTTGGCTACCTCGAGAATGTTCTTGTTGTCCGCTAGAAGAGCCACCCTCCTCTCGTTGGAGAACAAGAAGAACGCTGACATTGGTTGCTTTGGCTTTAATGGATCCCTTTCTTTCTTGATCTTCTTGGTTTCCTTCTTCTCTGCTTCCTCTTTGAACTGCAAATACTGTTGGAGCAACTCCATAGCCATCTTCTGCTTATGCTCGTCTTCAAAGAGCTTCATGGCTTCAGTCTCTCGCTTCTCTTTAGCAATAACCTGCAAATAAGCTTCCTTCTCTGCTTGATATTTCTCTTCATAAGGCTTCTTTTCCTCAGCAGTAATGGTCTTCCATTTGGCCCCCAAAATATTTGAAACCTCTTT